TAGTACAAAAGTAAATACGCAGCTCAAAACAATGGAAATAACAGTTAAAACACGAAATACTACAGATTAGACTAAGTACAAGTCAAGGAAAAAGGCAGGGAATCCACTAAGCATGTTGTGCAAAGTTCAGATAAGCATTTAAGACACATAAACATGTTATTCTAGGCTAAACAGGACAACTACATATGCTAGTATAACTCAATTATGGTGGATCAGATTATTATTCAGTAAAAGTCAGAATTTACAACAAAATAGCCCGTGTACGCACTCGTCACCTCACATACACAGTGCTCACATATCACAAAAGTATCAAATCCTAAGGGGAGTTCCCCCCCTCAAGGTTAGGCAAGCCACTTACCTCGAACCAAACTTAATCAATCGGTAAGAAGGCCTTTTCCATGATTTTCCGACTTTGAATGGCACAAATTTAGCCAAAAGCAATTACATATCATAAATATAACTATAAGAAACTGGTCTAACTAATGAAATCAAGATTTTTACAAGAAATTAGAAGATCACCCCAAAAGGTCGACCCGGGACCACGTCTTGAAATCGGGTAAAAGTCACAAAATATGAACACTCATTCAACCACGAGTTCACTCGTACCAAAATTACTTAAATCCGATATCAAAATCCTATCAAAACTCAAAATTTTGGTTGAAGAACTTTCCAACTTTCCCCCCAAATTTCTCAACCCAAATCCTTAATTAAATGATGAAATCAACTATAGATTAGTGGAATATAACCATAAATGAGTTAAGAATCGTTACCCAATAGCTTCCTCTAAAAATACTTCAAATTATTACCCAAATCCGAGCTCTCAAACTCCCAAATTGAAAATGAATTCGCTTCTGTGAGGGATTCACCGCTTCTGCGGTTTCACACCTGCGGAAAAACCATCGCAGGTGCGGACTTCAGTTAAGTCCTCAAAGTCCGGTTCTGCGAACAAGGGCCGCTTCTACGCACCCGCTTTTGCGCTCTTTTCTCCGCTTCTACGAGACTCTGACCGCCTCTGCGATCCCAGCTGGGCAGGCCAATAATCGCTTCTGCGGCTCGATGGCCACTTCTGCGATGCCACACCTGCGGCCCAAAGTGCGCAAGTGCGATTGCATTAGGTGCAGCAACTTCAACCAATCCAACACATTTCCAAATGATCCGTTAACCACCCGAAATCAACCCGAGGTCCCCGGGTCCTCAACCAAACATACCAACAAGTCCTAAAACTCTATACGAACTTAGTCGAGCCTTCAAATCACATCATACAACGCTAAAAACATGAATCACACTTCAATTCAAACTTAATGAACTTGAAACTTCAAACTTGTACAACCGATACCGAAACCTATCAAATCAGGTCCGATTGACTCTAATTTTTGCACACAAGTCATAATTGACATTATGGACCTGCTCCAACTTCCGGAATCGAAATCCGACCCCGATATCAAAAAGTCCACTTCCGGTCAAACTTCCCAAAAATTTAACTTTCGTCATTTCAAGCCTAATTCAGCTACAAACCTCCAATTCACAATCCGGACACGCTTCTAAGTCTAAAATCACCCAACAGAGCTAACTGAACAGACGAAACTCCGTTCTGGAGTCGTTTTAACACAGTTCCAACTACAGTCAAAATCCTAGAACTTAAGCTTCTATTTTAGGGACTAAGTGTCCCATATCACGCTGAAACCAAAAACAAGACCTCCCGGCAAGTCACATAAGCAGAAAAAGATACGGAGAAAGCAGTAAATAGGGGATCGGAGCTTATACTCTCAAAACGACCGGCTGGGTCGTTACATTTATTTACTTCATAAAATAATCACAACACCATTAAACCTGTTAACTTACTTTTTTCATAATCAAATGACAATTATTACGAAATAAAATTATAGCTGAATTATTATTATTTTTGAACGATAAGGAAGCATATATATTAATAATAGCAAAAACTTACATAGAAACTATATAGTCCCGTAAGACATTACTGTTGTTTAAAGCCACTAGACTATTACAAACATTGGTACTTAATTGCTTAATTCCAAAACAAAGACCTTGCATAATTTCTATGTCCATAGCTGAAGCTCTGGACAAACATAAATGTCACAAAATCCAAAAAAGTTTAATGTAAGTAGAAGAAGCAAAAGCATTCGTTCTGTACAATTTTAATAGATACTTTCTGGTGATGGTAGTTGAAAGATTAAAAATATGTGTTTATATCCTCAATTGCCACAGGGAAACCACCATTCATTTTCGTGGCAAAGTAGATCTCTGCTCTAAGTTGGCAGTTAAGATTCCCCAGAACCTGCTCGGTATTTCACTAATTACTTTCAGTGTTTTAAAGACGAGGGCGTGAGGCAAGGATCTTTAGTTTTTTAACTTATGAATTAATAATATGGCATTATAACATAACAAAAATATAAACAATACATTGTAAGTTCAAGAGAACTAAAAAGAATTAAGTAAACTCATATAAAATTAAATATTTAGCATGTTTTAGAAGTTTAAATAATATAATATTGTTAAAATTACTATGAAATATAAATTAACTGCAACCTCTTTACTTTCAAACAATTAAAATTATAGTTTCTTCAAAAATATTATCAAACTGCATATTTTACCTCTTTAAAAGTAAATATTCAATAAATTTTATCAACACCATAATTTAAAATATTACTCCTTCATGAGTAAATACAAAATGAAGTTTAAATAGTAAAATAAGAAATATATGATAGTTTTGAGAGACATATAACTAAGACGTGAAGATATATCAAGTAAACATATAAATTTTGGTTATCTGTTTTTAGAAGAAATATTCAAATGATATTCACCTTCACGACATTCTCAATTAGTAAATATGCAATACTATAGTTCGTTATTTGAACTATTCACAATTTTTATATTCCTATAGATAAAAAGAACTTTAGTCATTCATTTGTTAAAGAATTTTGAGAGTCAACAGTGCAAATTAGTGAATTTAACACATGATTTGCATAGGAACTCTTGGGCGCAGGGGCAGACCTACGTTGGTGGTTGAGGGGTCACGTGACCCCGTTAGCCTCGACAAAAATATATATATATGTACTTATATACGGGACCCCTTAAATATTTTAATGATGTCCCCTAATACAAAGTAATGAATGGAAGAAGTGGTTGCTTTGGACACTTAAATTCTCTCCTCTGCTGTGGTGACGCGGTTTCGAAACCACCCGAAGCTTTCCTCAGTCTTTTCTCCTCTTTTTTATTTTAGTTCTTTGAATACAATGTAATTTTTATTTAATAGCAAATTATTTTATCTTTTACTTTTATCTTCTTCTTTTTTTAAAATTCAACTATAGTTTAGTATTAATACAAAATAGTCAACTTAATTAATTTTATTCTTTTTTGCAAATTCCTTCCTTAAAATTGAAAGCCTCAAATTGCAACTTATCGCTCCACAAATAGAAAAATACAAATCTTCTTTAACAATCACTCTAAATTGGCAATGGAAACTTAGAGTTTGAGACTCTTCTTCAATTCTTTTAGTATTAACATACTCTTAATCTTAATTTCTTTAGTAAGTCTTTGATAATTTAAAGTTTGAACGCTCTTT